GACCATCTAATTATATATAAAAATGTATTATTAGTCTCATCAATGAGTACAAAAAATTTCAATTAAACACCTAAACTTAAAAGAATGAGTCCATGCACCGTGTCTGAATGCATTTACGTTCCCTTAATGCATTCATTAAAAAAATAAAATATAAATTATAAATGATACCATGAATGCATTTACGTTGTCTTCGAAGCTTTAAAAAATAAAAATAAAAAAATGGTTTTGAAGAAGGGAGAAAAAAAATTAAAATAAAAATGAAAATAAAATAGTACCTGGGTGGTAATAATGAGAAGCCAACCAGCAAAGAAGGAGATTTTCCGCCGGTAAAAAGCGATGATGATATTCACGATTCCGACGGCGTAAGCCGAGCCGTTTCCGAACGCGAAGCCGGCGTTAGCAAAAATCGTGATCAGCACGTGCTCCTTCATGTTAAACGGGCCCGGGTTCAGGGAGAACTGGCCGGACCCGAACCCGGGGATCCGGAACTTGGCGGCGGGCAGCGCCGCCGCCATGAACCGCCCGATGGGGAGGGTGGCCACCTGGACGGTGATGGAGGTGATGATCAGCGGCTCTCTCCGGTAAGAGAAGAACTGGTTGAGGAAGGAGAGCAGCACGCAGGAGACCACGCCCAGGACCCACATTCGGAATGTCCATACCGGCAGGGTCGGGTCGTCGGTGTTGGTCACCGTCAACCGGACTTCCTCTATCGGCGACACCTCCTCGTCGTTTACATCTTCTCCGGCGAGTTTCAGGGCCGGAGCCTCTATCTCCACCGTACCCATTTTGAAGAAATACAAAGAGAGTGATCAAGTTAACAATGGAGGGTGTATTTATGGAGTGTGAACTTTTTTTTTTCCTTTGTTAATCGTTGGCGTGTGTATGTGTAATATTATTTTTTAGTATCATATGATATGATATTTTATGATATTAAATACAAATATGAATATTAATATAACTAAATGAGGTAAAAAGTAGGTTGAGAACGGCAATCACAAAAGAAAAAAAGGAAAAAATGAGGTTGGAATATAACTAAAAATGGTATATTTCTGACAAATAAGTATATTATGATTAATTATTGTCATTATAATTGCGTTTATATGAGGAAGATTCCACTAACTTTAGAAATATTCTTCCCAAACTTTAGAAATACAAGTAATTCCAATTCGGTTAATAAAATAAAAAACAATAATTAATATTAATTATATATGCATCGCAATAATTTGGTATTATCTATGACGATATATGGAATACTAATATTTTTATTTTTATCATAGTAATAATAGAATCGAATATAAATAATTGGGGCAAATATGTAACTAAATATGATATATTTATGGTATTATTGTCATTATAATTGCGTTTATATGAGGAAGATTATATTCCACTAACCTTAGAAATAAAAGTAATTTCAAACCGATTACAGAAATCGAAAACAATAATTAATGTTAACTATATATGCATAGGATTAATTTGGTATTACAACCATTTAATTTCCATTATGGGAATCGACAGGAAATAATAATAATATTTGCATGCATTGATAGTAACAAAATTATTTAAAAGAATAATGGTAATTTTATCCAGAAATGTGGTTACATTCAACATTTTAATAAGGACGATGCATAAATCTATTGTTGTATAAATTAGTTAAATTAACATTTAAAATGAATAGAGCTGTCAATGTAGGTAGGTGCAATCGTTATACCGTGCACCAGCAATGTGCGCCTTGTGTCTCTCAAAATCACGTCGTTTTGGCAAGTTTTGTATTTTCAGGTATAAAATTCTATACATTCTATTATATAATTCTGTACATTCGAAACATGAAAATTTTCAGTTATAAAATTCTGTGTTTTCAATTATAAAATTTCGTGTTTTCAAGTATAAAATTATGTGCACTCTATTATATAATTTTGTACATTTGAAACATGAGAATTTTCAGTTATAAAATTCTGTGTTTTCAGCAGTGTTGCAAAAATCACGCCTAGGTGCCGATAATCGGTGCCTAGGCGCTAGGTGGTGGGAGGCCGTCGCGAGGAATGGCCTCGGCGGCCTCCTCCGCGGCTGGCCGGCTAGGCAGCCGCCTAGACCGCCTAACTGGTCGGTTCGGGGATTTTTTTAATTTTTTTTGTTGAAAATGTGGAAAAAGTTTCGCCAAAGACGGTTTGATTCACTAATTTCTCAAAAAAAAAATGCTTCTTTATCTCTTAATTTTAGTTTTTTTTAATGTATTTAAATGTTTAAACAATATTTTGAACAATTTTACAACCACTTTCGTAAATAGTTTATAAGAAATAACTATGAAAACCTTATGTTTTATTACTAAATTTTAAAAATTTTTAATTTTTAATTAAAAAAATAAAAATAATAAAAAAATCGACGCCTAGGGGGCGCCTAACATTTTTTGCAACATTGGTTTTCAGGTATAAAATTCTGTGTATTCTATTATACAATTCTGTACATTCGAACATGATTTTTTTTAAGGAGTTAACAACAAACACGTGAAAAGGTTTAAAACGACGTCGTTTTGTGTCCTCTGGTGCACGGTATAATTTGCCGGGTAGGTGAGGTTCGTCTTTGAGACCCGCTACTTAGCGGGTCTAGAGTAGGCTGGTCGGCTCTGCTACTTTCAAGGCTTGTGGGCTGGGTGAGCAAGCCCGGCCCACCTATTTTTATTTTTATTTTTTTTGATATACTCTTAAGTCACTAATGTATAGTATTATTCTAATATTATAATTTCGTTGTTGCCATCATTCAAATTAAATCATAAATTTCTTCAAGACTCTTACTAGCTGTAAAGTCCAAACTTTTAAAGTCTAGCAATATTTCCAAAGTCCAACCAATTAATGTAAATAAATGAATATTAGACGATAAATGTAATTTTTTTTTTTTTTTCAAATTAGGCGGCCCAACACGTGGCTTGCCTAGGCTACACTCGCAAGTCAAGTGGAGGCGGGCCTTTGAAGTGTGCTCTTTTAATTTACATACTGTCAAAACTTAAACACTCTCTACCAATGTCGTTGCAAAAATTGCGACTATGTATCGATTAATTGGTGCTGGACACAGACAAGCCGCCTAGCATATGAACATATCACTATAATCCATAGTCTAGGCAACTTTCTAGGCCTCCTAGTATGCCGATCAGCTATGTTTTTTTATTTTATTTTATTTTAAAAATTATATATATATATATATATATATATATATATATATATATATATATATATATATATATATATATATATATATATATATATGAAAAAATGATTATTTCACTCAAAATGACATCGTTTTGAACGAAATAATCTTAAATTATTCAAACTCTAAATATTTTTAAGTTAATAGTTAATATTAAGTATTAAAATATTAAATAATTTATAATTAATCAGCCTTGTAATTCGTTGGTTGTCTTTATAAATTTGTTCACAACTTGCTGCAAATTAAAGGCCAGGTTGTCTATTATATTGTCGTGTTCTTCAATGTAGTATGCCCAGTAATATTTCATTGAATTGGCATATGAATTGAATATCTCGAACAATGTGTATTGTGTGTGTGTGTGTGTATATATATATATATATATATATATATATATATATATATGTGTGTGTATGTGTGTGTGTGGTCTAATAGTACTCGGGTTGGACTTCCATTTGGAAGATTATGAGTTCGAGCCTCAGTCGAGACGTTACTGATTCTTTGTGTTTCAGTATGTTGAAAAAATATACGAACATCTACTACAATGTAATAGAGCATAAAATAGCAAAGAAAAACTCACTATTGTCACACACAATTCGCTATGGCAGTGCAATTGCATGTGATGTGTAAGTTTATATGCATGCATTTAAAATTAAGAGGATATGCATAGATAAAGAAATTAATCACGAAAATTATAACTCCTACAAAACTAACTTGGTCTTCATCAGGCTCACCGAAAAACATACGCACAACAACAAAAACAAAAACCCTTCCGTCTGGATCGAGGGCGGTAGCCAAGGCCGTAGTCCTCGTTCCAAATCTAGAAGATGGCCATGGCCGTCTTCGAATTCCTTCGTCGGCCATGGCCATCTTGTCGAACAGCCACGAGTGTCCGTGAAGAAGACAGCCACCCGCTGTTCGGTGCGGACAGGTGGTGGTTGTTCTTATTATTATTATTATTATTTTAATTAATTTTTTTAATAAATAAAAAACATTTGTTTTAAAAAATAAAATAAGAAGGACACGTGTCAACACCGTATCAATTTAACCTCGTAAACAAGTTAAATTGGACTTAATTGAACTATTTTACCAATTTATGGGACTTGATTGAACCTTTTTTCACTTAGGGGACCCAATTACACTGCTGGAATTCTGTATTTTTCCGACCACCGAAAAGTGGTCGGAAAAGGGAGATTTTCGGTCGAAAATACAGTTTCCGACCAACTTATCGACCATTTTATGGATTCGGAAAAAAAACCCACGCTATTACCGACAACTAGTCAAGGTGGTCGGAAATACCGATTTCTTTTTTAGGAGGTCAAAACTATTAGTTGTCGGATAAAGAGAGCGTATTTCCTACCACTGATGGTCGGTAATTGGTCGGAATTACCATCCACCGGTGGTCGGTAAAATTTACAAAGAAAAAATTAAAAAATTTGAATTACCGACCACTAGGTGGTCGGTAAGATTTACTAATTAAAAAAAAAATTAAAATTCTACAAATACCAATTAAAGGCAATTTGGCTCAATTAAAATTTGATTACATGATCGATTAAAATACTAATCTCTTTGAGCTCAATTGGGTAATAAAGATAGATAACCTTATTGTCAATGTATGTTCAACCTTTGCAACCTCTGCAAGGAGCGGAGCTTCATCAATGAAAGGCAATTGGGCAAGCCCTTGACATCAAGAAATATTTTAATTCAATTGCCAAAAAAGTTGGTCTGAGCAACACATCAACTTAAGCTCCATCTGGGAGAGCAATGCGATTCAGATAAATGGATAAACCAAGCTGAAACATGGGTGTCAAATATAAATTTGAAATTTTAAACCATTCACGAACACAAATTCAAAGTAGCCAAGCAGAGAAATACAAATGCAGTACATAAAGGAACTGGATTTGTAATCAAACCCAAAACTTAACCTGATAAGACTTTTTTGCCACCACTTCAGTATCACCTTCTTCATCAAACTCCCCAGCCTTTCTCTTCGCAATCTGTTGCTAAGTGGTCCATTTGACCACATCGCTGAAAACCGCAAAGTCAAGTCGTTGGATAAAGCAAGGATATTTCCTGGTTTAAATACATGCCAGGAAATAACAAATCAATATCATTAAAAGTATCAAGAGGGTGAGTATAAATAGGTCATCAGATTTTATAAACTGGGTTGATACCCAATAAGTGGAAGCACTTCCTCATCACAACTGTGGTTGCTTCACAAAGCAAGAGCCTACTTGTTTCCTGGGCCGAGCCAACCACCTGAAAACCGCAAAGTCAAGTCGTTGGATAATGTATAAGTACATTTTCACCGATAAAACATGGCATAACATATCATTTTTATCCCGCTTCACCCAGTAAGAATAATCCATGACTGTTGTTTCAGCTGTGAACATGGGAATAATATGTAATCAAGAACAATCCCACAAAATGATTAATCCACCTCAGCAAATGGGAACAAAATGTTGAGGGTAATGCAGCAAGACATGTTATTTGATGGTTTACACCATGGAAGTACGTATCACTTTATATTCAAAACCAAATTTACTTTTTTTTTTTTTTTTTTTTTTTTTTTTTTTTACAAAAGGATAACACAGTCAACTAAAGAGTTATATTGAAAATTGGTAAATGCAATCATGATACTAGTTTCATATAATTATCCATAGAGAGCTTGCATACCTGACAGTTTGTGTAGAATCTTGTGAAATCCTCGGATAAGTTATAGAGATACTCACACAATAAATTTGGTAGAAGATTCGTACAAGCTTCTTCAACAACCTACAAGAGTAAGAGTAAAAGAAAATGCAAAATTGATACTCTCATAGCTAAGATTGATGCCAAGCAGATGAGATTAGGGATTATTAATTTACCTCAGGAAATTGAAGTAAATGGAGTCCCAACATTCGCTCATCGTGATGAGCTAAATCTAGTGTCCCAGTCTGTTCAATAATCATAACATCAGTCTAAAAAATTAACTAAAAGATTGGAGAATTCTAGTTTGGAGATTGTAAGTCTGCGACCATTCACAGGCACTACATCATTGCCATGGTCTGTGCTTTTTTACAAGAGGATGAGGACTGCTTTTATCTATAAAAAATCTCACTCAGGATCATGAACTCAGAGTCCTGTCCTGTTTCCCTAATTTTACAAAAGAACCTTTCATGTTCAGGTCCCTTAAATGAAAGCATTACTCTATTGATCAGGAAAATACTTAAACTTAAGAATGATTGAATGAATTTGACTTGGGATTTTCAATTTAAAGGAAAAGTAACAAGTCACTGCAGCTATGCCTTCCTCTTGACCAATAAAACTTACAGGACAAAGTAGTCCAGAAAATATACCTTATCTAGATAGAGACCAATAGCACCATAGAGTACTGTGTCAAATAGAGACCACGCTCATAGTCAGCAAAGTTGATAGAGCCCAATGCAAAGGTTGTGGGTGAAAGAAATGAAGCCATCACTTTTAATACCCTACAAATACAAAATGCAGTTATATTATTCCCAGAAGAAAAATTATTGGAAAAGTGTCTTAATAGCAAAAGGACTAACACGGAAACTGTCTCATCATCGACTGTATAATAAGGGAAAAATGCCCCAATGAAAGAAAGCATCCCAACATATTTAGATGGTTTACTACTATGTTAACCATCTAAAAGAGAATCTAGAGAAGATGAAAATAACAGGCAAATTGTAAAAATAACAAATGCATGACGAGCATTTGCCAAAAAATACTCAGTTTTATTTTACCATAAGAACAATAAGGGCTAGAGATGGAGAGCAACATGGGAGATACCTTCTTCGCAGTTGTACGTAAACGAGAGGATGAAATGTTCCCTATGTTATCCCTGTAGTACACTGAGTGAACTCTTGGGGGTAATTCGGCAAGGAGGCGCTTGAATGATGAGACACCACTCAAAGATGGCTGAGACTGGTAGTCAACCCTGTCAGCAAGTATATAAACATGTAAAAAGAAAGATACACAATTTACACATCTTACAAATTTAGCCATTTCAAAAACAAAATCATTAAGAAAGGGCAGGAAACATGCGTTCTTTGATTTATTTATTTATTTCTGTTTTTAAAAAGTTTTATTATCATTATTAAATGTTTAAATTATGACCTATCTTGATGGATAATAATTTGCAGAAAATTTCAGTGCAGCTACAATATAATTTAAATTTTACATGATTGTGTGGGTCAGAAACATTAGAGGATTAGTACGATAATGAAAGTAACAAGTCTAACAAGCAAATCCTAAGGCTGTTTTCTCCCCCATTTAATAAGAAATTACAACTGAAATAAGCTCAGAAAATTCATTTGAATCATCAACTCAAAGACTCACCAATTTCAATTTTAACCTACTGACCATCATTAAACGGATTCTTCTTCGGTGTCTGTAGGTAGATGCTGAATGGGCAGTCTCCTCACTTATAGAAATTCACACACAAATATTTAATTTATACAGTAACAATATACTGAACAAGAATTGGTATGCTGAAATAAACCTCGATATTTAGTGAACTAGACTTGAGCTATAAAGAAAAACGCTTACATTTTGAAATGAGTGATTGAAATTGGCGGGCTTCTTATCTCTTCATCCACAATAGACTGACATAATAAGAGTAACGCATAAAACTCCATTTAGCTCATAAATTACGTATGTCAGAGAAAAGTACCTAAACCTAAAATGAAATAAGAGAAAAGAAATTACCTCACGCCCCTGCTAGGAAGTAGCCACAAGTCTGCTCAATTGAATTAGGAAATTAAGGATTAGGGTTTAAGATTAGAAGACTAACCTGTATGATGGCGATGGAGACCGCGATAGAGTCGGGAAGAGGCAACAATGGAAGAAACTTTGGTGCAGGCTGAGACGTCGGGCGAGGTGGGAGCGACGGCGTAGAGAAGGCTGAGACAGCGGCGGAGGCGGGAGGCGGGAGCGACAGCATGCGGAGGTGGAAAGTGTTTGCTTCTGCTGAGTGATGGCGTGCGGAGTGTGTTTTATGTTTGGGCTGATTGAAGGCGTGTGGAGTGTATTTTACGTTTGAGCTGAGCGACGACGTCGTACTGTGTTTGGGCGAAAAAAAAATAAATTTGGGGAAACTTTTCCGACCACTCTCCGACTACTATACCCCTTCGTCGAAAAAATTAAAAAAAATCATTTTTTGCGATCACATTTTTGGGTGGTCGGAATGAGGTCGGAAAAAGACAAATTTTTAGCAGTGTTACACTATCCAATTAACTTAGGGGGCCAATGTAACACTTTTTCCGTCAAAGATTGATTGGGAAGCGATGAAGTCACAATCATTAGGCACGTGGATCTTTTTGCGCGTGTAATAAACTCGTCATTCCCTTCTTAGGCTCTGTTTGACAGAGTTTATTTAGGAGTTAATAGATTATTTTAAGCTACTAATAACCAAGTTTTATTTGGTAATGTTCCCAAAATAAGCTAATAGCTTAAAATATGAGCTTATTTTGAAAAACTATTTTAAGTACCGTTTCAAAAATAAACTACGAACTTTCTAATTTTTTCCATCTTTATCCTTATTATTTTAAATGAATGACATCTTTTACCCTTCTCAATTAAAAATCCTTTTTGGCATTTTCTTTTCTCCTATATTTGTATTCATCTTTTTCCGCAACTCTTCACCACCCAACAACTCCTTAAAGTTATAACGTAACTCCAATGGTCTGTTCATAAATAAATGACATCCTTTATCCTTACCAATTAAAACCTTTTTTTCTTTTGTTTTAAATATCTCATATATATTATAAAATAAAAAGTTAAAAACAATATAATAATCACATCATTTAAATTTTATGAAAATGTCATTTTTAGTCCTTTTACATTTATCAACTTATCAAAAAACTCAATTTACCAAACACTTTTAAGCATAATCGATCAGCTAGTTAACAACTATTCAGTTTTTCAACCTTCAGCTACTTTTCAGCTTTCAGCTAGGTTTGCCAACATAGTCTTACAAAAATAGAAAACTAGAGAATTGAATAATAAAAAACAGAAAATATGTTTCAGTTTTTTAGAAAATCGGAGAACTTCTAAAAATTGTTTTATAAATTGATAACAAAACTTCTATCATCTATTTGCTTATATATCACTATAACCACCGATACGGAATATATCTTGGGCTACTGACCTTTTTGTTCTAAGCACCTGATCGGATCAGACTCTTCACATGGTGGAGGTATTTTCCCGATCTGATCCGACCTAACGAGAGTTCTTAACCAACCGGACCTGAAGGTTAGGCATCTAATTAGCTTAATGAGCTTCTAATCTTTGCTTTTGGTGCTCAGCCCGGATTTGAATGCTCGGATGGGTCCGAGCCCATGTACTTAGCACTTAAAGATGATCATCAACAGTAGTGCTTGTGCCATGCCTGATAGCCATTGGCCCATCATACATTTCTCTACACATGGATACTTCTCCCTAGTCTCCGGGACTACCGAGTGCATGGAAGACACGTGTCGCACATGTAAACCCTTCGACATGTGTCTCATTTCGCATTCTATAAATGCCACGTTTGATGCTTAGCTTGTAAATGAGACTTTTCCCCTCTCTCAATCTAAGACTCACATGCTCGGGAACTTCTGACATCCGGTCTAATTTGCCCGAGCTAATACCCTGAAATTATACGATCAATTACATTAACCCGTATTCTAAAATATATACCTGAGGGTATTTACACTATCATTTAATGCCGCCGTCTGTTGGGACCGGTACTATTAGCCACGAGGTTGGCTCGTGTCCCTGACATGTATCCTCAACCCAGCTATGATGAGGAGAAAACTCTATATCGTGCCATGCTCGACCTTCGCTCTCAATTGTCACTTCGACAAGCTTCGATTCATACCTTTCTTCAATTTGCTAGTCAAGTCAACTAACCCAATTAGCTATTAGCTATCAGTTACTTGTCAAACATCTCCATAGAAGAATAAATAAATATGGACGTTACTAGATGACTTAATGAGACTTTAATTTGATGAGATTTTTTTATACAGAATTTTTACGATGCATATATATGATATAATAATATCTACAGATATTGTAAATAAATAGATGTGGACATTAGTATAATATAACGACAGATCAATACAATGTTATGTAACCTACTAACATGAAGAATTTTGTTGAATCTTGAATGTTAAATAGCAAATAAGTAGGAGTGCTAACTAAAAGACGGGGCAGCCATCAATGGCGATACCCTTAGCAGTAGGACACGTTGCAAGATCGCAATGCTCCGGGTCATTAGTGCCCCACCACGATACTGTCTTGTTTTCCAACCCTACACTGAAGTACAGCAGCACCGCCATGAAAGCAACCCCCGCATCCAACGCCGCCGAGAGAATATAGTTATACCTCTGCCACCATTTCTTCCGGTACCTGAAAACGAAGAAGTTGAAGATCGTCCCGACCAGAATCCACGAGTTATAGTTCAAGGCGGTCGCCGGCGGCATGGACGCGGTGGCTCCGAGCAGCACCGGGAGGTTGATGAGCGGAATCCAGGATTGCGAAGGGAATTTCCTGTGCAAGAGCCATACTATTACCGGTCCGAGGATTCCTCCGAGGAAGAACCAATTGAGAGCTCTGTAGTTTCCTTCGTTGCCGAAGATTCTTTTGGGACCTACGAGGCCCCAAATCACGGATGCGTCGAAGAAGACGCGATCGTTGGGGCACGTCCACGGGCTGTTTGATAATTTGTCTTGGTGGCAGATGTTGTCGACGGAGTGCAGAAGCCACCAGGCAACGCTCATATTCACTGTTCCTGCAATCATGGTTCCAATGAACTGAAACCATGCAGGTAAATCTGGGATTATAGGCACCGGTATCTCTAGAAATATAACATGTGCTCTAATACCACTTGTTAGTTCAAGTTAAAAGTTAGGATGTTCTTTCGGAACCTCTGCCTAATAACTCCTAGTTATAGTGTTGGACTTGGCCCTTTAGACTTCCGCCTAATAATCTGCTAGTTATAGTGTCGGACTTAGCTCTTTAGATCTCCGTTCAATAATTCCGGTGCTGGACTTAGCCTTCTCTCTTTGCCCAACAATTTCTATAGTTATGGTGTTGGACTTGGCCCTTCAGCCTGATATCCAACAATTCTTAATCATGGTATTGGACTTGGCCTTTCAGGTTTTCGCCCAACAATCCTCTAGTCATGATGCTAAACCAATTGTTATACCATAGATTAGGGTCCACCTTACACTGTAGACCCGGTTCCAAAATACACAATTTACATACTGAATAATGTTCACAATTTACTTACTGAATATTCACAATTTACATACACAACTTAGATGATGCTCACAATTTACATACTAAAGGTTCACAATTTACCTTTGACAAAATTGTGAGCATTCAGTATATAAATTGTGTATTTTGAACCCGAGTCTACAGAATAATTTGCCATGCTCAACTTGGCTCTTCGAATCCCAGCCCAACAACTCTAACTTGCCATTTAGGCTACTATCCAACAATTCCCTAGTTATAGACTTATAGTGTTAGACTTGGCCCTTTAGGTTTCCGCCCAACACTACTATATCAAGAGTTTGTAAAAGATGTATTGATTCTGCAGGGTAGA